AGTGTTTTGTTCCAGTTGAACTATCTAACTCACCAGCTCATGTGCCCTTTCAAAGACCTCCTCATGGGCACAGAGGCTATTGGGTCCTGGCCAAAAAAGCAGCTGAGGATGCATCAAGGCTGCGTGTTAAAAAAAATGTGAACTAAACCTGAGTCCAAGTAAGCCTCTATCACTCTCCCTACTCTGAATGTTATCTACAGAGCAATGGCACAGAAAGATCGCACTTAAATTTAGTGTCCATTGCTTCATTGTCACAAACATATTATAAAAGCAGAGTCCTGAGGGGTTCTTTTCTGAATCAGAAAAAAAAAAAAAAAAGGTTGTATTCTCTTTTTCAGACCTCTATGCAAAACATTCTAGCCACTCATACTAATAAAACTCAGAATTACCCAGAAGCATTTAATCTTTTTTGTTCATAAACTAGCAATCTTGACCTCCAGCTTTTAATTTATTTTACTAAAGTATTTATTTTTTTCAATAAATGAAGCATTCCAGATTTGACTGTCTATGCAACACAGTTTAGTCAGAGAGCACGACCATGTATGTACCAATTTTATTCACTACTCTCCATACATATGAAGGTATAAAGCTGACTACCAGAATAGCAAATTCCTTTCTAAAGCTTCAGCTCATCAAGTTAATGATTAATGAATTTATTAAAAAAGAGCTGAAAGTCCAGGAGCAAAGTTCCAAAGTAAAACAAGGTGATTTTACTTGTTCTTTAAAACAGTCTCCTAACTCATTCAAAAGTGACCTGGTACCCTGACCAGAAGCTTTTTATGACCTTACATAGTATTGCAAAGAGTAAACCATCCAAAAGTAATGGATTGGCTCATAGAAACAACTATTTATAAAATTGAGTCCTTTGCACAAAAGGCTAGGTGTGGCTGAGGGAAAAACAAGAAGCATCTGCACCAAAGCTCCTGCTGTGCTGCCACTCAGCACACGACAGAGCCCACAGTGGACTCAGCCACTCACTGGGGGCACACTAGGATTGTTTAATTGCACACCTAAATAATTTCATGAACCACAAGAAAAAGATCAGCCCTCTTACCTAAGCTCTTCCAAAAAACCTATCCATTATTCCTAATTACCTTCTAATGTCTCTCTCATTTACATGTACAGTCACTGCACTGAGCACGGTGACCTTTTGCTGGACTTCCCTGACTGTAGTACTTCAGAGTTGTCCCACTGAGCAGTGGGATCAGGAAAAGCAGTGATTGCATATATGGTGTTCTAAAACAAGCATGCAAAAGGCCTGAACCATCCTAGACTAGAAACAAGGTTTTCAAGTTGATGGGTGCCATTAAGGAGGACAGGATACAGTGCTCAGATGTCACTCATCCATTTGGTCTCCTGTCAATGACCTTTGCAAAGAACAAATCGATACTAAGAAGATACTGTATCTACTACTTCTTACTGTGCAGAAAAGGTCAAACCATTCTCATGTATGTATCAGTTCCAACATTACTGTTTTCAGACATGGAACTGCTTAAACCTGGGAATTAAAATCCCTATCTTGAACAAAGCAAAGCACCATTTCAAAATGTATAAACTTAAAGAAAAGACTTGGAATGGAAATTTATTTCATAAGCAAGGTATGATTCTTGCAGAAGGAATATAAAGTTCTATCTTGCTATCATGAAATGCTCTCTAAAACTACAGTGCAAATGAAATTATAAACAGTATTTATGAGACTGCTTCCTTAGCATAATCTGGTACCACCTGTGGGTTTTACCACAGAAACAAATATCTTGTTAAAGCACTGAGCCATTTGCAGTCATTTTGTGCATGTCTGCTATACCCATTTTTGATTGTATGTACTGATTAATATCCTCTTAGAGTTCACTTAGCATATTTTGAGAGAAGACCTTATGGAAATACATGTATTGGTTCTATATTTTAACTTGATCCCATTTAGTTCAATGCCCAATCCTTTTATCTTCAGCAAGAAAATTCTGTAATATACATATTACCACAGTCTAGGAGATGCTTGGTACCAAAATCATAACTTAAATTTCTGGCCTTTTTTAAAATATATAATTGAATTCCCAAATTATGATTCAGCTTAACACTTCACAGAACCTGAAAGTTCAAGGATGAACACCAAAATTCTATTAGCACACTGTGCGTACATGAAAATTATCCTCTATCTGGATACAGATACAGATTTCAAACAACTTCAGTCTGATTCTGGTTAGAAGACACTGCTGCACTATTTCATATTGCAAGTGCAAGATCCACGAGGACAATGTGTTAAAATATTCAGAAATCTAGTATTTTACAATGCTTGCATATGGGAAAAGGGTTATTTAACACTCAGTGTAATGAATTTCTGAGTTACATTAACTGCAGCATCATAAGGAGATATTGTACTCCTGCTCTCGAGCTGTGTGGAAATGGAGCACTGGCAGTGCATATATCCATAAGCAAAGTAATAAAAAAAGGATCTATAATCTTTTGACATATACATTTAATACATTTCAGTAAGGTTTATTATATTTTTTGCTTCCTCTTTTCAGCATCACTCATGGTTAATGTCGAGCTATGCACAATGCTTAAAATCACTCAGCAGTCCACATTAAGAAAAGAGAAGCAATGTTTTTAAGAATAAAATAGTTATTTCTAATCTTATTGCACTTGAGTCGGTCAAGAGGTAAAGCATCTTATTATAATTTTGAAAATCTGAGAAAACATCCACTGACTCAATTATTTAATTATTTATGTTATTCTCTTGCAAAGCCATATTCTAAGAATGGTTTCTCTCTGTCAAGCAGACATGAAGGTAAAACCAAATCCCTCAGCTTTGTAACATTAAACAGTGTACACTGACAGATTAGAAAAGTCTATTCTGATGTTTCTATCACCCATATCAGCCAATATAAATCTGAAATTAAGTTTGGTGTAAATTTTTAATTAGTTGATTGTACCATCACATCAAAAAAAAAAATTTAAAAAAAAATTAAAAAAAAAAAAAAAAACAAAAACAAAATAGCATTGTCTTGGAGTCAAACACTGAAAAGAAAAGCCACTCTTCTGACTGCAGCCATGCACCATAAGCCAAATTACAAGCCAGCAACTCATTTTAATATTTCTAAAACTACCTGCTGAATTTCACTGAGGAAATCCAATCTATGCACTGTGATGCAGGATAGAACTGCCTGTCTCCCTGTCTTGTTGTACTGCTTATTTTGATGAGCTGCAATGGCATAGAGGTATAGATTTTTAATATACTTTTATTGCATTTTGGATAGCTGACTTATTGACTGTAGGTTTGGGGCATTTTTTTCCTGAATTTTTATGACTATGACTTTTTGATGACTATGCTTTTTAAATTCTTATTGGAAGTTTAAAAATGGCTGCATTTCTTTAGGGACAGATGAAAAATTGTATCAGGTGTAATACTAAAAAATGTTCATTCAGATGCAGAGGGCATTAAAAAAAAAAAAAAAACAACAAAACGAAAACACACCAAAAAAAACCCTCAATACTAACATTGTCATCTCCCATTCTACCCTTAAAAAAGACTCAAGCTTTTTAAAGGCAGCATCCAACATAAAACATGCTGAAGTAAATTCTTTTCAAGTGATCTAGGTTTTTAGTCACTGAAAGCCTATTCCCTTACTCCCTAACAATGAAGAACACACAGTACAATAGTACTTATTCCAAAAGCAGTTACACTTCCTACTGTGCCTTCTTAAGCAGAACTGTGGAACAGCAACATTGCAACAGCACTCAGTAAATGGAAATCAGAATGCTAACTCTGCATGCAAGCACACAGGTCTGATCAACAGACTCTGCAGACTGTGGGTATTGCTGTAACTGGCTGTAAGTGTCTGCTTCTGTAGACAGCTATTCCTCGTGGGTAGTCACTTTCATTTCATTTGGCCATACATTAATAGGCTGTCATCCTATTAATGGTGCACACCATTAAGATAGGGTTGTGGCAGAAGCAAAAAGAAATGCTTTCTCCACAAAAGCTGACGACGGGAAGAGGGAAACAGATTGTAGCCAGCAGCAGCATCCAACTAGAAATCCTGGGTTTTTTACACTCCCATAAAAACAGTCAGAGAAAATGCAACAGAAAGGTATAAAACAGATTTTCTTCATTACAACTATGAACACTACAATACTATTGATCTGAATTCTGTGATGTGTTTTGGAGAAATATTTACTTTCAAGGAAGAAGATAAAATAAGAATCCATTACATTATTTACTTGCCTTAAGAGTGTCATTAAAAGCAGGCAAATAAACTCAAAGCATCCATATTCTGTGATAAAAAGGTATTTTATAAAATATCAAGAGTTTAATGAAACAAACCTTAAAAACAATAACAAAGTGTCTAAGTGGTATATTTCATAATGATGTAAATCATGACAAATCAGTTGCAAGATGTGTACCTTCAGCACACTCCATCCAGAACTTTCAAAGGAATACTTTATTTAATCAGTTCATTTACTTGCAGAAAGCCCCAGAAGCCCCAACACTAAATTTTACCTTTTTCTATTCTTAAAAGTTATACTAAAACTGCTTTAAAAGATATTTTATTACTCCAGTGGAAGTAAGTATCTGCCGTAAAACAATGTACACATTCCCATAAGCTTTTTGTAAGTTCTGACAAGCCACTACACCCCATTTAATTTTATCTGAATTTTAGCCATGTTTTTGCACCTAGTCTCACTATACTATCTTACCATACCATCTTACTAATAATCCTTTCTGAATTCCAAGTTCTACATCTTAATTAAAACTCTGGACTTGTATTACAGCACGAATTAACTATAGGACTTTGAGGATTTGAACATCTGAGAGAAAAAGAATTTATATGATTCAAGACTTGATTGTCCACCTTGTGTTTTAAAAGTGAGGTGTTTTCTTTAGGCATTACACATGACCCTTAGAAAATGGTACCACATCAAAGTCATCAAAACAGTGCAGGCGAACCAAAATGAAAACAATCAAATGTATCACACAACATTTGAAATAAAGATGATTCTACCTGTATCGAACATGCTCGATTGTGTCATATGTCAGCTTGCTGCTGATATTCTGGCTATGAGGGTTGCCTAGGAGACAATAGAGATACAGAAATTAATCATTAATCACAATTTTGCTATTAAATTTCTCTTATCAAACTATTACACCAAGAGAGTCTAAAAGATGATAAAGATTCAATGCATACTTCACAGCAATTCCCTTAAGCGCCTTAGTCAAGACAACAGACCTATAAAAGGATAAAGCAATTATGACAGACCTAGAAACTTCAGCTGGATTTCTTACTAATATTTAGGCACTTCCCCTAAAAAGAAAATGAAACTGCATATACACAGACTAGAAAAACCACAGACAGAATGCAGATTCATAAACGTATTTGTGCAGTAGCTAAGAAGCAAAAGGCAGGATCTGGAAATAACAATCATGATTGGATAGAAGGGTTTTTTTAGTGTCTGAAATCCAATTGATTCATTGAAATATAAATTTTATTGCAAAATTAGTAGCTACCGTAGCCCAGCTCAGAACAAGCATATATAACAATTAAGGCAGCATGATTTTATCTTCTTGAGCAAAAAAGACGCCAGCAATATTCACTCAAACACAGCACGCTTTCCTATCAGCAAATACTCAGAGAACATGCAAAAACAGTTTGGAAAGGGAATAAGGAAAAATTGATATATTAACACAGTTTTTGCAGTAGGCTCCAATATCAGCTCTTTTCAAAATTTAAAAGTTACGCTGCTGAAAGTTGTTGAGTGAAGGTGTTGAAAATAAAAACTTTAGAGCTCAACTCCAAAACTTACACTTTTCATGTCTGATGTTGCATTTCCAGTTCAAATATCTTCAAATTAGAAGTGAGACTATCTCTTACATATATTACTTTCCCTCATTTACACATGCAACAGCTAAACTGCAGTTCTTTGAACCTGTGGATTGCCACCAAGAAAATAAAAAAGCTGCAAGTCAAACACCCCCTTCATTCACATCTGTGTTTGTTAAATTAATTCCTCCTATACTGTCCTTAGACAGCATTTACTGTCCTTAGAGTATGAGTATGTAACTAGGAAAAAAAAATTACTATGCTGGAGCTCTTGCTATAATTTTAGATGAAAATACCAATAAAAATATACTATTTGTTTTCCTATAGCATTATAAGGTAGGATGCAAATCTGCTGCAAACTGGCAGTACAACTATTTCTATTCACAAGTACTTAAATGATTCACAAATTTCATTTTCTGATCCAGACGGTACTTATTAAAAGGATTGAGCCCAATGTTTTTTGAAATGACTAAGATTAGAGCATAGATATTTCACTTTATAATGTCTGTGGTGACAGAACATTAATTTTTGTATCACTGGCATGCACTTGAATAGGAGATCTTGAATATAATCAAATCAATGTATTTTGTCATAACAGGAAAAAAAGCCCCTATCTCTATAAAAACAACACTTATTTTGTAGTGGAACTCAAATTTATGCTCTGGATCCCAGCCTTGCCAGCATTCAGAAAAAGAATAGGGGGAAATGACATAATGGCACATGGAAAATGAAAACTACCCAAAACTCTCAAGTGGCTTACACAGGTGATAAACACACGTGTGCCAGTGCTGGAGCAAACAAACAATTTCTTGTAAAGCAGTGGTACCTAGTTCCCAAGTGAGGAATCCCTTTGTTCCATGTATCAGGGAGCACAAGAAAGACACAAAACTAGCAAAAAGGACACATGGTCCACAGATAGTAACACACCATAGGAAATTTGACTACTTCCATGGGACTTCTCACAGCATAATACTGTGCAGTTTGGTTTGTTTTTTTTTTGCTGATTGAGCATGACTCACTACTCTAATGAAAATTGTCTCACACAATATCAATATTTCTTATACAATGGATGCTGCTGACTTTGTATAAAAACACACTCAGTGTGTGATTCTGCCTACATAATAACATCAGAAAGAAATGAAAGGTTTAGGTAGAAGATCTGGGGATGAAGTATTTACAGGTGGTGCTGTAACAGTTAAATCTCCACCCAGATATTAAGCAATTCTGTAGATCTTTTACGCACATTCCTCTGCACAGGACTGCTTTTGCAACACCTATCCTTTTTCTGAGTAGGCACCAAAGTCTAATAGGGCAAAGTCTAATAGAACCTATTCTGTACCTAAATTCACTTGGGATCTTTAAGCTATGCTTTTTTCTGAGTAAAATTCTTATACTGAGTCACAGTATAAGCTCTTTGTGATGACTCTGTCTGAGAAGAAGGGTGGTTCTGGATTCTGGTCCTTGCATAAGAAACTTGGTTTGCATTTTTGTGTGAAAAAAAACCACAAAGAATGAACAGTGCTTATAGCTAAAATGTATTTCTTTATCCCAAGCCTGGTGCCCTAACAGAGTCATGCAACAGAGCCATGTTTGCTTTGATCTTTCTTCTTCACCAACGCAGACAGGTCCCTGGCCACCAAAGAAGGAAGCTAGGGGTGACACAAAGGCCTATACCTCCTTTGTAAAAGCACTGGTCTTCCAACTACTCTACAGCAGCAATAAAAAGCCTGCAGAAGCTCCAAGAAGCTCAGTTTTGAATGATTTAGATGGAAACATGAGAAGACTCATGGGAAACATTGCTTTGCACTTACCATAAATGTTGTTTCTGAGGTCATCAGTAAAAGCTTTAAGTAGACTCTCTGGGAAAAGCGCTGAACCAGCATGGTCAAGGTAAGTAATCCCTAAAATACAAATACAATTACTAGTTTCAATTTTTAAAAGATTCAATGTCATTTTCTCACACAGATCGCATTGTGAAGTGCACCATTCAAACAACTCTTTTCATTCACTAGCAAAAATAAAAAAAAGGATGAAACAATACAAGGCAAACATTTTGATTACCTGTGTATAATTTTTAATTAAGACCAAAGAGGTACTTCCTTTCATGCTTAGATTACACAGTCCTTGGAAGAGAAAAATCTTTTGTTTGGCCTGTACAAAACTGAGCAAGCTGGTGTCTTCAGCCATTGCTAATTCTAGGCACTACTTATTATGAAAACTACTATTACCACAATACTAATAATTATTATTAACTGCAACATCAATAGTGATGTCTCCTTGCTGACAGGTGCCACAACTCTCTCAAGAACTGACTGACAAGACCAAAATTGTTTCTGAAGATCAGAGACAGAACGAGAAGTTTTAATGTTTTTAATCATGTCTCTCCACTCTGCTACACTTAACATTCAATTAATTTTTTAAATATCCTTTTATATTATTTAGCTATTGCAAAACTTTTAAATAAATACTTATTGAAAATGAAGGCTTTTTCATGTTTGGCCATTCTAGATTTCTTAATGTTTAGCAATTATTCTTCCATTTCTCTAGTGTGTTTCATGCTCTTCATTAGTTTTCTCATTTCACTTACCTTAAGTATTCCAACCTATTTCAAATTTTAATAATGATGAATATGATTAAGATTAGAATTTATTAAGTATTTTAAAGGTCTTCCCTTTCCACATGGATTTAAAATTGAGTTAAGCTTTAAATGAGACGTCTTGACACTTGGAAATATATCCTATAATATATTATGTTACTGTAATAGTGATCCAGTGGGTAAAGCCGTGAGGTAGTGCTAATAATAAAACCAACCCAGACACTCACCCCTTATTTTCGAAAGAGAAAAGTCCTCTCCTGCCTTAAGATTTCCTCACTTACAGTGCCTAGCAGAAGTAGAATTCTTAATGATGGCTTGAAGTCAGTCAAGTGTTATAAGATGCTTCAAGGGGTGGAGCATGTACAAAATCAGAGACAACTTATTAGCTGTACAGGTTTTTTAGTTTTTTACTTTTTTAAAAAAGAAGAATCCTAGGAAATTTCCCCCAAGCAATATGAAGCAGCACAGACAACCACTCAAGGGTCAAAATGCATATGGAGGTCTGTCCTGCTCAGTTCCCAATAGCTGCTCAGCTCCCCACAGGAATGTATGACTTTGGAGGAAGACAGGCACACTGCCCAGGCAGGACACAGCCAGGCCCTGCCCAGTGCTGTGGTACAGCTTCTGCCAGCAAGGAGACAGCAGCTTTCCCTCCTCCAGCAGAACCTATACTCACCATGGCCACCTCAGGACCTGCAGCTTGGCACCAAAAGCTCAGGCAGGCCCTGAGATGGAGCAACAGCCACAACCTCCACCAGCAGCAGTCAGGGCAATAGGCAGCCCGCAGTCACTGGCTACAACTGGGAGAGGAGGGAAAGGAAGCACTGGGGCTGAGAACGGGAAGAAACAGCCCTGAGCCAGACACAAGTGGAAGAACTGCTGAAACATGGACAAACCACTCTTCAACTGAATAAAGTTGAAAAGAGGGTATATTTATTACAGTGCTGGACATATGGGGAGTAACCTTCCAAAGACATGTAAAAAAGTCACAAACTCTTGCTCTCGATTTATCCAAGAAGGTTTTACATATTCAGATGGTGTCCAAGACGGTTTCTACGATGCTTATTACATAAACATTAGCTCTTGCCTCATATTATAATTAACTGAATATCCATTACAGCTGTGCAATTGTCCTCTTTAATTGTGGGTAGGTGAGCTTCTGAAGACAAAGTAAGACATGGGTTCTCTGCTTGCTTCTTCTACCTCTATCGGGATCAGGATTGAAGGCACTTGAGATGATAGTTCGTGTTCAGACTCAGGTGTTTATTGGTTTTTATCCATGTTACAGTCTCACAGCCCTGAGTTTTGCAGTCTTTCATTAGCAAGGCACAAAATGGCCAACTATCTCTTGTTACAAGGTCATTTAAGGCTAAACTATTCAATTAAGAAATTACACCTAAGTTATTTTTCCTTTTAACCCAATAACTGATCATTCAAAGACCACAATGCAGACTTTTCTGTCCAATTACAAAATACCACCCATACCTGTAAAGAACAACCACCTGTGTCCACCCTAAAACCTCTATTTTGCTTCATATTTATTACTATATTATAAAACCCCAAACTCTAAGTTTTCCACCCTGTGATATTACACACTTTTAACAAACTATACACCCATAATCCCAGTGCTATGAATCAGTTTTGGAAGCCATCTCCACAGCCTCGGGTCAAATGCAGCATTCTCTTGTGGGTCTGTGCCTTTCAGCACAGAAAGTGTAAAATTCTCAGCACCAAGAGTTCCAACAGTAACACACGTTCTTCATGGCAAACTCTTCACCCATGTCAAGCTGTCAGGGCTCCTTGGCTGGCTGGTCACAGTACATACCTCCTCCCATTTTTAGAAGCCAGTGGTATTTACGGTTCCTGCACTCTCACTTCATATATCACCTGTCACTCCCAACCTTGTTTCAGTTGTCCCCACACGCTACCAATTAGTTTCCTTGTTAAGCTCTAATCACAGTACATGATCTTTGCTAACTACATTTCTAACTTAACTCCTTAATATATATAGTTTTCACCTTCTTACTTGCATTCCTAGCTCAGCCCTCTGACTTACTGCTGTCCTGGAGGGAGCCACCTTGGCCAACACTCTTCCAACAAAGCATTCACAGAGGTGCCATTTGGATCTCATGGGCACCAGGAGCACAGCCAGGTCATGCTCCTCTCTGAGCAGTTTCTGTGTTTGGACCTTTCCATTCCCAAGGACGGAGACAGCACTGAAGTCATTACACAGCCCAACAGCGTGAGCAAAAAACAGGCAACCAGCTGGGGCTTCTCAAACACAAACCATCCACTGACAAGTGACAGGCACTTTCCCATCCTGACCAACACTCCTGTGCGACAATGTAGACTAAAAGACCTCTAGGTAAAGGCCCTTTAAGTGTTGTTTTTTTTTAATTTGATTCCATATGTAGCTCATGATGAATGACAGTATTGCAGTTCTGTGAAATGGAAGTATAAAAAACAGCTAGTCATTTTTAAATTCCTCCTCTGGGTATTATACTTTTAAAATCTGTGAGGAAATTTGGCTGAGGAAGGAAAAAGTATTAATTCTTAAACTTTTATTTCATATTTAATGCTGCTGTTTAATTGAAAACAGAGAATAGCATTTAATACTCTCTCCCACCGCCCAAAAAAATTGAAATGGACTCTCTCATCTTTTGAGGCTGCACTGAAACAAAGACCTTCATGGCTATTGCACTTTTGCGATCTGGTTTTTCCTTGCTGTCTTATTTCAACCAAACTGTATTTTTAAAGAAAAGAAAAAAAAAGTGAAACATGTATAACACAACAAAAAAAAACCCATATTAATAACTTTCATTGTGTTTCCCCCCCTGGTTTAATAACATTTACTATTTTATCTTTATTGAATGCGCATTAAGCAAAGAGATTTGCCAATATATAGAGTTCCTGTTGTTTCACTGTGGTATTTAGATATAGGTTGCCAGCACTATGAAATTATACTGTTTATGAGAAAAAACAGGAGAAAGAAAATATAATATGATAAAGCAGAAGAACATTAAAATGCAATACCCATCAGGACATCAATTCATTGCTCAGGGAAAATGTAAAATTAACTTTTAGTTTAGTTTACATGCTATTATGTTTGGAGTGTGTAACTGACTTCACCAGTCTAATAATATACCAACTATTTGATAAAATCTATTTCAGAAGTGGGATTTTTTAACACAAGTATCAAAAACCATGCAATGTGTTGGCATTAGTTATGGAGAGTTATTCAGCCAGACTATCAGTTCATAAGCTGCAATATTCATATGCTAATATCCTTGCAGATTAATTTTACATGGGGAACTCTTTGGGAACCAATACAAGCCAGTCTGTTCTACTGAAAAAGTCCAAGCCCAGCTCTCTGATCTACTTACATGCTAACTTCACCTCTTAACAAAGCGTTTACCATCTCTGTGTGCTCTTGGCCCCTTGTAAAAAAACTTCATGAGTGCATACCTACATACAGCCTCATAAAAGCCAGTTTAACTGAACATTTCTATCTCTTAAAAGAAAAAAGAGAATTTAATTTGGAACATTTCAATATTAGAGTTTAAGGCCAAGTGAGAACACTCAACTGCACAAAAGTCTGAGAACATACAAAGCAAAGAGAAACTACCAGATTAATCTTTTTGAGCCAAATATCTGCTTCTGACAAAAGCACACTTGCTTAAAATGGGACTCCACATGACTTAGAAGAAATTGTAAGATATCATTTGATGAACTGAAAGCTGAACAAGGCAGTTACATCTTTACTAAATCTTTTAGTAATTGCTAAGTTGTATAAACATCTACCACCAAGTGGATAGTGTAGAGGGGAAGCACAGAGAGCCACCCTGGAAGCACTTCCTACAGCGGCCTGGTGCCACGTGGCACTAAGTGACTAAGCTGTCTCCTACTTCACAACCCACCCATAAACCCATGTCTAGTCACCCAGCTCCTCTCCACCTAAATGATTACTACTTTGGTATTACGCAATATGTTCTTGTAATCCTTGAATTTGTTCTTGGTGCTACACATTTCTAAACTTTGTTGAAGTATCACTTCCAAAGATAACCAATTTACCTACGCACCATCTGGACACTCTGTGTTCACTTCCTTAACCTTTTGTTATTCTGTGATTCTACTACAGCCACCAAAACAAGCCAACCTGAGCTTCACAGGTTATTTCACACAGTCCTGACACTTCAAAATTCCTGCACTCCAGCTGATTATAGGCTGCCGCTGCCATTTATATAGCCAAAAGTCTCATAATAAAGAATGAAATGTGTAGTTACAAGGCAGCAACTCTACAGAGTC